GCCAAGAGCGGCTGCTCACCGGGCCGTAGTCCCGGCGCAGCTGCTGTTCGCCCCGGAAGCGCAGGTGCAGCCCGTAGCGCGCCACGTACAGGTTCTCGGAGCAGAAGCAGGCGCAGCGGCAGAAGCGCCGCGGGGCCCCCGCCGTCGCCATGGTGAAGCACCGCGCGTTCCGGCCGGCTTCCGTAGAGGCACTTCCGGGTACGCCCCCAGCCGCGACACTTGTGGCCCCAGCGGCTAAGGGGCCGTCTTAAATTCCCAAGAACAGAAAAGAACGAAGACGCTCCCAGCCAGAAAACGGTTTGCGGAAGAGGAAGATGCTTCTCAGCTCGCGGCGCTCTCGTCCCTCCTCGCAATTTCCCCACCGACGAGGCGGGGACTAATGGCCCCACTTCACCGATAGGCGGACTGAGTCCGGCCTTCACAGGACGCTGCGGTTGGGACTCAGAACCCGAAGGCCTTTTACTTAAACGCCGCCCCGGCTTCTGCACAGAGCTGTGGGAGAACCAGCCGACCCCGCGAGGAAGACTGTAGGACAGTCGGTGGAGCTCTGAGGCCCGACCTCGTTCTCGCCAGCTGCTAGCATCCGTGCAGCTTCTGTGCGGATGAGCTTGGATTTGACATTTACCCCGGGTCCCTGCCTGGTGCTTCCGGCCCCTCCTTCACGATCTCAGGCTATGCTGCAGATTGCCCCAGTGAGTGTCTCCACGGAAACGCTCCGTCTCGCGTGACTTCCGGTGGCGTTCCCAAAGGCGGCGGGTGGGCAGGGACACGTGCGAGAAGGGGGACGGGCGTGGTCTGCCAGCGGCCACACCCTCTCGGCCGGACCCTGTTCAAGTTCGGCACAGCGGCTGTGTGAGACCGCTTTGTTGATGGCCTGTAGCACTTGCGTCCCGGTTTTGGGGAGACCCATCTCAGCACACACTGGCCCTGCTTCGGGGTCCCCATCATTGTCCGCTGTGCACCCCTTAGGCCCACAAAGCCCCGTAAAGAGCTTGGACGGCAGCCCCATTGCTCAGAGGAAGAACCGAGGCGCCAAGCAGGGGAGGAAGTCGTGTCCCCTGGACCTGATCCCTGATCCCTGCCCTAGCGTCCCCTCCGTGGCTCAGCGTGGTGCGGGGATGGAGGTGGGAAGGAAGGTTCCAGCCCTTACCGCAGATGACAGCTCTATTGACCGAGCCTCCTCTCTACCGGGACCTGTGATGACGGCTCCACCACCCACCTTCTCTCCTTTCCTCCCCACGGCGGCAAACCTTTGAGCTAGGTGCTGTTATCAACCACATTACTGATGGGGAAACTGAGGTTCTGACAAGTGCGGTAGCCCGCCCCAGGTCACACATCCAGTGAGGGGCAAGCATGGGTTTTGCACCCAACCGTCTGCCCTCTGAGTCCCCCTGTTCACCACCACAGGATATCCCTGAGTGGTGGGATTACGTGGGATTTTGGATTTTCTCTTTGTGTCTGTTGGCATTTTCTCACGGACTCTGCTGGAGCCCCGCCTGAGCCTTCTGAAGCTAATAGGCTCCCGCAAGGAGGAGAATGACCCCCAGGGACCTACCTGCACCTCCCTCAAGGTCCCAGCTCCCCAGCCCAGAGCTGCGCAGCCTGAGAAGGTGCTTAAAGTTTTACAGTAGTCTTGATTGCCCAGCGATAGTGAGGGCCCCGCTATCCAGGAAAGCATCCATTTCCCCAGCTCGGTGTACTTTACCCCTCACTGCTTTTCTCCGCCAGGAGGCCCAGGGCAGGCCAACTCCCCAGCCAGCCACCACCTCACCCCTACCCCCGGCTCACCCAGTTGGATTTCTGCCTTTGCAGCAGTTTGCAAGACGAGCACGTTCTGCTTATCGGCTTAGATTGGCCCTCCCCGTGGGCCCCTCCTCCTTGCAGGCAGTGTCCCCCACTCCTCTGACTGGGCCTAGTTATGAAAGGGAATAGCCGTAAGAACAGTATTTACTAGTAAGCACTGAATCCATGTGTGCTGCCAGCCAGCACTGGCGTGCGCCTTTACTCATCATACAAATGAGGAAACTGAGGCTCAGTGAGGTACAGGGACCTGTCCAAAGTCATAAACCTAGTGAGTAGCAGAACCAGAATTAGAACACTCCAGGATTAGAATATACTTCTATCTGATTCCAGGACTGTATGTGTGTGTACATATTGTGTATTTACATATATATGCAAGTGCAAATATGTATATGTACGTATGTGTGTATATATACACATACTTTTTAAGATCACATAGAGCTGCAGTCCCCAAGCCCTGGGCCATGGACTGGTACCAGTCCGTGGCCTGTTAGGAACTGGGCCGCACAGCAGGAGGTGAGCGGCGGGTGAGTGAGAGAAGCTCCATCTGTATTTATTGCCGCTCCCCACCACTCGAATTACCGCCTCGGCTCTGCCAACCCCCATCCCCACCCCTGCCCCAGCCCATGGAAAAATTGTCTTCCATGAAACTGGTCCCTGGTGCCAAAAATGTTGAGGACCACTGACATAGAGCTCACATACAAGAAAAGGACACAAATCATAAGTGTACAGTGTGATGAAGTTTCACAAACTGGACACGCCATGTAACCAGCACCCGGATCCAAAACAGAACATTCCAGCCCCACAGAAGCCTCGCTATGTCTCCTCACAGGCACTACCCACCTCCGAAGGGCAATCACGACTTTGACTTCTAATAGGAAAGGTTAGTCTTGCCTGTTCTTGAATTGGATACAAATAACATCATATAGTACGCACTGTTTCCTATATGGCTTCTCTCACTCAGCATTACGCGCTTGAAATTCATCTGTGCCGTCAGGTAGAGCAGCAGTTCGTTCTTTTTGGTGGCTGCACTATAGTCCCTGAGTGAACATTCCGTAATTCACTGACCATTCTCCAACTGACAGGCATTTGCATTGTTTCCAGTTTGGAGTTGTTATGAATGAAGCTGCTATGAGCATTCTTTTTTTTTTTATTATGGTTTAATATACATAACATAAAATTCACCATTTTAACCACTTTTAATAGACTCTTTTTAAGGGCAGTTTTGGGTTCACAGCAAAATTGAGTGGAAAGTACAGAGGGTTCCTGTGTATCCCTTGGCACCCACGACACACGCAGCCCCCCCACCATCAGTGTCCCACACAGGAGGGCTGCCTTCGTTACAGCCAGCGAACCCATCGACACATCACTGTCACCCAAAGTCCATAGTTTACATTAGGGTTCGCCCTTGGAGTTGTATATTCTAGTTTGTGACAAATGTGTATGACATGTGTCTGCCATTACTGTACCACACCGAGCAGCCTCACTGCCCTAAATATCCTCTGTGCTCCCCCGTTCATCTCTCCCTCCCCACTAACCCCGGCAACCACTTTTTACTGTCTCCATAGTTCTGCCTTTTCCAGAATGCCGTAGAGTTGGAGTCATACAGTACGCAGCCTCTTCAGACTGGCTTCTTTCACTTAATAGTACGCACCTAATTGTTCCCCATGTCTCTGCGTGGCTGCGTAGCTCCTTTCTTTTTAGCTCTGAATAATGTTCTGTCACCCGGATGTACCACCGTTTATCCATTCACCTGCTGAAGGACATCTTGGGCGCTTCCAAGTTTAGGCAATTATGCATAAAGCGTCTTTGTTTTAATTTTATTTTTTTAATTGAAAAATTATACTTGTACATGCCCATGGGGTACACAGTGATGTTCCCATACATGTGACGTGCAGTGGTCAGATGAGGGTAGCCAGTATCTCCATCCTCTCCGTCATTTGTCATTTCTTCGTGTTGGGAACAGTCAATAGCATAAAGCTTCTGTAAACATCCATGTACAGGTTTTTGTGTAGACACAAGTTTTCAGCTCCTCTGGGCAAATGCCAAGGAGTATGATTGCTGGATCATGTGATAAGAGTATATTTAGTTTTGTAAGAAACTGCCAAACTGTCTTCCAAAGTAGCTGTGTAATTTTGCATTCCCACCAGCAGTGAATGAGAGCTCCTTTTGCTCCACATGTTTGACAGTATTTGGTGTTGTCAGTGGTCCAGATTTTGGCCCTTCTAATAGGTGTGTAGTGGTATCTCACTGTTTTACTTTGCATGTCCTCAAGGACATAAGATGTGGAGTGTCTTTTCATATGCTCATTGGTGTTTGCTATCTGTATGTCTTCTTTGGTGAAGTGTCTGTTACGGTCTTTGGCCTTTTTTGTGTTTTTTTTTTTAAGAGACAACGTCTCACTCTGTTGCCCAGGCTGGAGTGCAGTGGCACAATCATAGCTCAC